CCAGTTAGCAAGAATATGCTTCAATTTAGCTCCCAGTTTTTCATTTCCTTACTGTGAAAAAGATCAACCCAGTAACAGGATTTATTTTTTGAATGAGGTTATTGAACTTTTTAAAAAAGTATAATTAAAATGAGAAGTTCATTATCACATGTACTGAAACCATGTCAACACACTAGTCAAGAACCACAACCAAAGATCCTTTGACCTTCATAGTTCTTGCTTTGACAGAGGCAAGATTGGCAAAATGTTTACAAGACGAGCTTGAATAATCACCAGTTAGGGTGTCTGAGGATGTATTTACTTAACAAATTCCAGGATCTATCTTGCCATAGTAAGAATAGGTTTGGTGTTGTTATTCCATTACTTATCCAAACATTCAAATTTGAGGGATTTTAACCTAATTTGTTTGATAGCTATTACTAAAACATTTTCTTCAACACAAGTTTGTAGGCTAGTGTAATTGCAGGAGAGTAGTTACATTTAATTCTTGTATAGATATTTAGTTATTTATTTTTCACAACTTTATTACAAGATAAAATTTGCAAGTGTCAGAATGGTAAGGAAGTTTTGTAACATGTCACTGTGGAACTATAAGGGAAAACCTCACACTATTACATGGAGTAATCCTTAAGCAAAACAGGTCAAGTTCAAAAGTCGCAACAAATACAGCTCAGAGAGCAATTCCATGGCGATCGGGTGGCGGTATAGGGTGAAGCCCTCGGGTTAGGAAGGTTTTTGGTTCATATGGTGATTGTGGATTTACCTAGAAGGCTTGAGTAATAGAGACTTTCTCTCAAGGTTAAGTTACAGCATTAACTGAAAGAAGGAATAATAATTGCAAGATTGGATGGCTGTGTAAAATTTTAGAATTTAACCATTTCAAAGCATAGTGTCAAGTTCAGGGTTCCCAGTGCTGTGGAATTCTAAAGTGATTTACTCCCCCCAAGAAAAAGTTGCAACTCCAGAAACATGAGTGTAGCAAGAGTTGGGGAGAAGATTGTGGGATCCATAGCGAGTTTCTGTGATTTGTTTTGATGCCGCGATTCCCCTGGGCAAAGCCAGTAGCTCTTGTCAGTGTGAACACCACGGATGGGTGGTTTGGTTTCAGGCCAGAGAAAATTGATGGATGCCCATGAAATTTATGGGTAGTCTTATTGTACCCTAAGTCCCCAATTAGAACTAATGAACTCTCTAAACCCCATCCAGATGAACAAACTACCACAAAAAAATTCCTTACTAACCAAAAACCTTCCTTAACCCTCAACTGATTGTTGTATATCTTCAGTGGCTTAGAAAATTCACATGCAGTGTATGCCTATTGTAGGCATACTATGTCCTCTTCATTATAGCATGCATTGATCTCCTATGCTGTAATCCCAACTTGTAATACATGCTCATAACATTTGACTTCCTAGAAAGAACAGTGAACCTTTAAGTGTCAGGTATTTTAGAATTTCATAAGTCAATTTATCCATATTTTAAACCAGAATAGCCAGCCTTATTGCTTACATATAACTAAATACCTGTAATGCAACCTGTCTTTTTATTATCTATTTATGGTAAATCTGTGTTTTGATTTAGTTGCTAGCGGGGTCCAGCTAGTGATTATGTGTACAGCACAGAAATTAAAGTTTGACGACAGCTGGGTCTTTTTGCTTTAAATTGTACCCAAGTGTGAAGTCTGAACATGTCATAATTTCAACAACCGCTTCTATACATTTACATAAGGTCTAGTCAACACACCAGAGTAGGGTATTATTAAAATACGCACCACTGATTAACAATCTTTTTTCAGACCTCAAAACGCCGTAATAACGGACGCTCCAAGCACGGACGTGGACATGTGAAACCCGTCCGCTGCACCAACTGTGGTCGCTGCGTCCCCAAGGACAAGGCCATCAAGAAGTTCCAAATCCGTAACATTGTGGAAGCGGCTGCTGTCAAGGATATCAATGAAGCTTCTGTGTACACTGGTAAGTAGAAGCAATAATTTTTAAGAGGGCTGATTGGACAAGGCACATTTTATGCAGATTTTTGTATCAAATGAGTATGTTATTGATATTCTCAAGTAATTAGTTTTTGGGTGGAGTAGGTGGAAAGGTCACTTAATTTTTTTTTCTGTAGAAATATAGGGTACTGGATAATATTGGTTATTTCAGCCCCTCATACCTATGGTCAAGAACAAGTTTTGCGCCAATACCATTTTGCTATTGTTCTGGTTGAGTATTGCAAGACTAGGTGAATATATTTGAAATGATGGTGAAATATATAACTCATCTTTGTCAGGGAAAATGTTAAAAGAATTAAAATGTATTTGATTTATAGTTGTTGCTTCAAAGCAATGTTAGATAACCAGAGGATTATTTCTCTAGTGTTTCTTGTGATTCAAGTTTTTCCCAGTCCTTGTGATTGAAACTACAAACTGCTGAAACAATAACTTGTTATTGCTATGATTGAAATTAGGAAGGGTGCAATGTCCAAGCACTTCCTTTAACTTGATAGTAATTTAATGGTGGTAACGAGTCCAGTATATTTATATAAAAGGTGCACTAAGGTAGAGAAAATCAAGATAGTAATAATAAGAATAAACTATTCGTTATGAAAGAACTTGTGCTGGCAAAGAATAAAAAATGATAGAATAACCTGAGTAAGAGTTTGTAAGGAATGCAGCACAAGGACCAAAGTACCAGGCTGATCATAGGGGCTGGGGATAGAGAAATAGACGATCAGGTAGGAGTCCATTTGGTGGCTGGACTAATACTGTCTCGGGGGTGCAGTCATTTTGTAAACAATTACCATAGATCCTTCAAATTTAAACTGCTTATCCTGTGTCTTGATTTAGTCGCTAGCGGTTTATAGCTAGTAACTATGTGTACGGCACAGAGAGAGAATGGACTTTGTTCAGTGGGAAGTTCTTTGTGAAATTCTGATGGATGAAGGCCAGACATTCTTTTGAGATTTGAGATTTGTTTCCAGTTCTTGTGATGGTTTTTAAATTGTTGAATTTGTGTTGACATGAAGATGACTTCTGGCATTATAGTAACACACCACATTTATTGAAAATACTACATCTTTTTAAATTGTTGAATTTGTGTTGACATGAAGATGACTTGTAACTGATTGGAATGTTGAGATTTGGGAATACAAGTTAATTTATTTTATTGCAAAATGAATTGAAAGGTTGTTAAATCCTGTGCATGAATATAAAGCTTTTGCTAAAGTGAAGATTATTGATTGACTATACCTTCACAATTGATGTTTTTTCTGTTCTATATTAAATTTGTAAAAGGTTTGTGCTACATTTTTACAAACCTTGTATTTGCTTGGTTTCAAATGTAACCTCTTATTTTTGATACGAGTAATGAGCAGGAGTGGCTTTAGAATAAGGATTTCAATTTATGAATACAAAAATCAAGTAAACCTGCTATACTTATCACCAGTTGAGGATTTCATCTTAGTGCTGTGATCAAGATATTACATTAGGTGATCAACATGTTAACAATTTTTTTGTTTGGGTTTTTAATTTTTTTTAGCGATCTCCTAAACCTATAGTCCTTCCATTTGAGCACTGTTTTCACCCAAAGACCCTCCCCATGTGAATTTTCCTTTTCACCTGTTACATGAACTACTACTGCTTGAAATAAACATCTGTTACATATCCCTTGACAAACCTAAGACTTGCTAGGAGAATGAAAATAACTTGTTCTAACTGTAAATGATATCACTATTAGGATTTGCAATACCTTATGGTGGCACTATAGTACTTCAGGGTGTTAGTACACTTAATTAGGAAATCCTGGTTTAGATGGATATTAACCATTTATACAGATGCATATTTAGCATTAGTATGATATTCTGAAGTTTCCCGGTGTCCAATTATCATTGGCAGTTTTTGGATTGGACTTGAGCTGGAATATTAGCCTAGAGGAGGAGTAGGTCAAGGGAGAGTTGCGTGTGTTTGTTAATTCTGGCTTCTTTGGTGGATTGGGTCTTCAACCCCCCACAACAATCATTAAGAACCTTTATTTCTGTTTTTGGGAGTAAGAGATACTTGTAACAGTCATATCAAATTGATAATTTTCTTTACACTAATTCTGTTTTAGTATTTGGTTGTATTTCACAAAGTATGTGGAGAATTCTGTTAGTGATACTGTACATTTGCCTTTTATGGTTGCATGCATGAAATAGATCTCTTGAAAAATGTTTATCATGCCAGCCCCATCTGTCTATTAGTGCTGGGTAGTGTCTCCACTGAAGTTTTTCTTTGAATTTGTTTACATACAAATGGCTTCACAAGTGCTTAATCACCTAGGAATTGGTTACTAGGGCTATCTGATTGTTATAGTTTTTTTATTACTATAAAAAGACTGTAATTTAACCCAATGACCCCAAGTAAAAAAGTTTGGCAAGCGGACATGATTGCGGGGTTGTAGGTGTGCATTGACAGTTTCCCAGCTTGCGCTTCGATTGCAAGGGACATTTGGAATGTAAAAGCTTTCATTTTGCTATAATTTAATAACTAAATGATATAATAAATTTGAAGGTGTACTTTCACTTTAGGTGCTATTGCCTAAAAGCTTTAACATAGAAATGAAGTTGCTATTAAAGTAAAGGAAGTAAAGTATAGACTGAACAAGTGTAAAATACATTCATTTAAAATAGGTCATCAAGCAAGCACATTGTGTGTACATGCTCACCATTATAAAAACTTTGGTGGGCATGGTATGGATACATGCACTCTTGTTATCAGTTACCCAGACGACTTGGGTGACATTATGGTCCCGTAATGGAAAATTCTTGCCAGAGAGCCGGTTGACGTGAACATAAATTTGCAGTGATTAATGGTCTTTTTCCTTCCAGGTTTTTAATCCTGTATATACCTCTATAGATTTTCATTGAATCAAACCTTCTCAATTTTTCCCACAGTATACCAGCTCCCAAAGTTGTACATCAAGCAGCACTACTGCGTTTCCTGCGCCATCCACTCCAAGGTGGTGAGGAACCGCAGTCGCAAGGCCAGGAAGATCCGTACCCCCCCACCTCGCTTCCCACGATCCTCTGTAAGAAACGCTACCAAGTGATATCATTGTCTTGAGGGCTTAAAGTGGCTTAGGATTATTTGACCAGAGGAACAGGTGCAAGGCCCAGTTCCTCCTCTAAGTTGATGGGGAAGAGAATAGAATCTCATTTTATGTATTATTTTTAAGTGTTGTGGCTCATTTTTTATTCTTGAGATTTGTGCTGCCACTCCCTCCCCTCCTCACTATGAAAAACAATTGCTTTGATAATGTACATCAGTCATAAGAAACTGATTGTACAATTTTCCTTCAATAAACCATAACGATATAATTGCTACACCCTCATTACCATTAAGAGTGCATGTTAAGGTGTACTTTTCATGGCGCAGAAGATATTTGGGGCATTCCCAAGCAACCCAGTAGGGAATGCTTTTTCCTAGGTTATAGTAAATGATGAAATAATAGGTTCTAGTTTTAAATTTTAAGTTGTGCATACTAATTTTCTTTAAATTTTTCTTTTTTAGGAGAAGAGGCCTCGTCCCAACAAGTAAATGAAATAAAAACCTGGAGTCTTTAATTTGATTTTTTATTTGGTTTGACCTACTAATTTTTAAGATGGTTGTATTCTTCCTTAGTTTTGATATTTATTTCTACTGTTTATTCTATTACTAAATTACGTATAATTTTGTGATTATGATGATTTTATCATTTTTCTATATTCTTATTTGCACTTCTTTATTTTTTATCTTTTTTCCATTCACTGATTTTGAAACTATCACATTTAGCTAAATATCTTCATTCTTAGACACTTGAGTTCATCCATACAAGACACTTACTAAAAATATGTTCAGAAGACTGAAAGCAACTTCTGCAACCAGCAAGACGGGGAAAGTATATTATCTAGATCTTCTATAGAAGAAAAATACTTCATCCTGCTATGGATTTCTTTGGTCGAATATGGAACCTTGGAACCTTCTACTACAGTGAAACTGAACTAAAGGGGCAGGCAGAGAAATGCATGCACCTCAGTATAGCATGTGTTGTCATATTATTTTGTCCATGTGGGTACCCTTGATCTTCCTTTAGAATCCAAGTTGTGCTTTTTGTTTTTCTTTGCTGCATGAACCCACTTCACCAGGGAGACAGGTTGACGTGTTGGGGAGCAAAGATTTTGTGACCAGTGTCTCCACATTAGAACATGACTCCGTCCAACATATGGAATAATGCATATTAGACATTTTGTAATTGGAAACCAGGCAATTATTCAATATTTGAATAAAACTTTACTGTGTTACATTTGAGGACAGGGAAAGTATGTTAAAAAAAGGCAAGAATTTAATTGGTGTTAATATGAAACAGAAGTACTTTTATCTGCTTGACACTGGTATAACGGTCATGCATGTTAAGCAAACCTGTTCTGATTTAGACGTCAGTATCTACAAAAAGCTTTGTTTGTTTAACCCTTTCAGGAGTGGAGTCGTCAGAACTAAAAACTTAATCTTGAGAAAGGGAGTACACATGGAAAACTGCTGGGTACTATGGTTAACCCATGTTCAAAATATAGAGCTCATTGTGGATTTCATAATGTTCCAACAAGTTTACAAGTATCACTGCAGGGGAAAAATGAAGTTGCAGAAAAGCAAATACTGCTACAGACGTGTAGAATTCGGGGTAACACAGTTGCCTCAGGAAAGTAGCTTGTATGAGCTGCAGTTAATGTCAGATGTAAATTGTCATTTTTTGACAGTAATGATCCGTACCAACTTTGGTAATGCTTACTTTTTTTCTTAATAAACAAAAATTAAGGAACTTGGAGGAAGTGGACATCATTTATTTCATTTCCCACAAGTGCTGTGGAGAGAAACGTATGGAATCCGCTCTAGTAACCAATGCACGAATTTTGTGAGACTTGCATTAAACACACATTAAACCAGGAGAGAGAGACGGATACAGTGAGAGGAAGTATATGCTAAGCTAAGGATAAGACCATTGCGAGTCTGGAAGAAATCCGACAGCAAGGAGGCAGGTGAAAACTAAGGATGACTGAGTGTAAGCATTAAGAAGTTTATCCCCTTATGCTTAATAGATAATTACGGCAATAGTATCAAATTGCACTGCAAAAGTTAACCTTAGTGTATAGAGGTTAACATGGGCAGGTTGCTGTCAAGAACTCCGTCAGGTATTGATAGGCACAGGGGTATATGATTTGTTTATCTTTTTTAGCACGTGCATGCTGAGGTAAATATGTATATATCCCCACTCCCTTACTTGTTGTCGTGGAGGGGGAGAGGCTTCGTAGACGGTGACTGAAGTCCAGTGAAGGGCATCACCCCTACCTTGGACGTCGGCCCTCGCCCCAACTAATTTTGCATGCTCTTTTCTTCTCTCCCTCTCCTTTTCCTCTTCTTCAACCGCTTCTACTGTTCACGTTCTAAAGTGTGAGCGTCGTGCTCCAAGGATGAAAGGCCTTTCTCTTTGCTATTCCCTCTTTACCCTTTACCCTTTCCACTACCATACTAACCTATAGCCCTGTACAACGTCTGAGATCTAACAAATTTTGTCCAAATCGTCAAATAATTTTTAACTTTTTTGCCACAATACTGTATCATAGTATTGTATTGTCTTTCCTTATCCTATCGCTAAATCATGAATACGGTGCTATTGACCTTAGGTTTTGACGTAGCAGAATTTATTCAGTAAATAAATAGGTTGCGTTTGTATGGGCGTGCACGTGGTTGTGTATGTATATATCCTATATATATGTGTATGTCTATACATGTATGTGTATATCTATATGACTACACGTGTGTCTGTCTGTCTGTCTGGATTCAAGCTTGTGTGAGTGTTAACGTGTGCATGCGTGGGCTCAAATACATTAGGCCTTTTGTAGCATTCCCGGAACCCCTAACACTTTGATGTGTGTTTGCCTTTAAGCGCACATTTTTGGAAACTTGAAATATCTCTTGGATTTATTTGCAACTAGGAACAATGAAGCTTGCCCCTTCATCAACTAGCCTATCTAAATTGATTTCACTGATTTCCTGACCCCCTGTCTCTCATTTGACCATAGCTCTCACCATTGATACTGATGCAATGCTTGACAACTAACCATTCTGAACCATTCATCCAGGTGAATGCTCAACCTTTAGAATGCACCCTTCCTCTCTCCCAACATTATCCACTCTTCTACTGCAGTTTTCTTCATTGTCTATCCCCTCTCTCCATTACTACTACTCTTCATCCTTATTGTTCTCCTCCCCGCAGTACTATCTCACTCTTACACAGTGGCGTAGATAGAGGGGACAGTTGCACACCTCAAAGTCAGTTTTGTCGGGAAATTTTCAATCCTTGTCGGAAAAATGTGACGGCAATCTACTCTCTTTTGATGTGTTTGTCCATTTTAACAGAATTAAAATAAAATATCGCTCTATTCTGTTTCCGCCCTAGTTATATCAGTGTAAGTATTTCAACTCTTCGCTTCCGAAAGTCGGTATAACACGGAAGGTATGAAAGTGCTGTTTCAGATGAGTGCAGTATTTTCACTTTATCGCCAGTCAGTGAGGATGAGCGTTTACTGGATAGATGGTCTTCCGTTTTCTTTCAGCTTTGAACAATGGAACTTATCTAATTGTTTTGTCAGAAAATTTGTGGAGTCCCCCCCCCCCCTTCCCGTCAAATGTCCTATCTTGGCCACTGACTCCTCCTCCTTCTTCCTCCAGCCCTCGTCCTTCTGCTTCCACCTTTGTAAACTTTTTGAGTACTCTGGCTCTGCCAATTGAGTTGATTCTTTGTTGTTGCCCCTACAACCTTTGCTAGATGCCCAGCCAAGTTGAAATCTCCGGCAATCAACCAGCAGATACTCTAGCACGCTACGCCGCTAAATACGCTTCTTCCTCAGACGCATACATATCCTTCACTTGATCTAATCCCCTTACCTAACCCCACCGTAACCCAAATCTATTCCTGTTAAACCTTAATTCCTAGTGTGCTGTGTGGTGCAGATGTGAACGTGCAGGTCTTGCAATCTTACTGACCTGCATTCGATCCTACGCGCTACCAGTGAATGGTAACCCCGGCCATTCCTTGCACACAGGGAGAGATTGAGAAGGCAAAATAAAACAGACAGTATGTCACAGCAAATAATATCCATTGTAACAAATGGAAATGAAACTAAATCTTAAATCTTTAAAAAATCCTCTATATATTTAAACCAGAACGGTTCCAGTCTTCCCGACATTATCTTACCTACGGCTAGAACTGATCAGACTGAAAACAACCTGCTTGCCTGCCTTGTTGACTTTGATGCAGTGGCAGTACCGTGCTACACTATTCCGCCCAAGGGCCGGCGTAAGTCATACACCAATATTACCAAAATTAGCTTCAGTAGACATGACCTCCCCCATATCGACCCCTTCCCCGTTAATACCAAATGTTGGCGTTTTGGTCACTAAGCCGAACACAATCGCTCCAAAACCTGTTGCCCTCCTATGTGCCCAACCTGTCCATGCCGTTCAAAATGCTCTGGTCAGTCATGCACATGTGCCGATTGTGCTGGATTTAAAAATGTATTTTACAAGGGCTGCCAAGGTCAATTCTCAGATTCAAGTTTGGACATTCTTTACACGAAGTCAGACAGGAAGCACGTCGGCAAGGTTTTTCAATTCCCTACTCATTGTTTCTACATCACACCTTGTATACCTTCCTCATCCCACTTCTACTCTCTTCATCTCCCAATCAAATTCTTTTGCATTCTAAATCCGGACACCCCCACCTCTGCCACTATTCCACACTCCAATCACTACTTCTCCGGTACCTTCCCCACTTCCTCCATGCCCAACTCTTCTACCCCATCTTTTCCATCAACCTCACACTCCACCCTTCAAACATCTGTTCCCTCTTCTCTCCCCCATAAGAAAACCTTTGATTCTCCAACTTCCCCAATCTTAACCCAATCACTCATCCCCTCCACCTCAACCCATCTG